GCTTTTTTTTCTGTAATGCTTTAAAAATATTTACTGGCTTTAATTGTATGTAGTGTATGTGTGTGCTGGTGTCATCAAATGACTTTATGAAGAGTGAAAAGAAAGAGAGTGCCAGACTGTTACTGACTAAAATCCCCCTGTTCCTTCTCCTGCTCTAGGCAGAGGTCACGGTGCCTCATTGCGCTTACCCCGCAATCCTGACTGAATGTGTGTGGGTGTGAGGTGGTATTTCGCAATTACATTTTGAAGCACATGATGTCTTCAACGAATTGAGCTGCAATTTTGTAGGAATATTTGGTTTGCTTATTAATAAGTACTACTAAACTGTACGAATTTGGTCATATCTCATAGAAATGCCTCTAAGTAAGTGTCAAGACTAACACTGACTTATTGATGATCCAATCGTCACAAGCTTACTGACTAAAAACCTCCCGTTCCTTCTTCTGCTCTAGGCTGCGGTGTATTAGAAAACAGTTTTTTTATTTCGTCTATTACCAGGCTCCTTTGCATGAGATAGTTTGTCAAAATCATTCCGGAATCATGACCAAAATGCAGATTGTTATAATATTCTATCATTTATTTTCGCAAATAAAGTGCAAATGCTTTAGCTTTTAGAAAATTAAAATCTTCTTAATACTAGCAGTATTACCCACTTCTCGGTTTAAATTGGTGGTAGCCGCATGCTGAACACCCTATAACCTTCCTCAATAAATGGCCTATCAAACTCAAATATATTTTGTACGTCAAACCAGTAGTTCCTGAGATAAGCATGTTCTAGTAAACAAAGTATATCTACTTCAAAGTGTGTAGCTTCATTAATTCATTCGGAAATGAAAAATATGATGCCATTATTATTATTATTTCAAGACATGCAGGAAGTCTTTGTCTATATAGTCAGGTTGTGGACAACCGTCTGCCGAGCAACGTGTCACTCTTTCGATTCTCACATGGAACAAATTCTTCGTATGATTCACAAATTGTTGTTATAGGTCTGAATGTGATGTGTATATAAAATAGTAGAAAGAGACAATATTTTCTAACAGGGATATGTAGAAAACAACAGAAGTCTATTTTTAAAATAAACCATCAAACAAAACGGTCTAATTCATTCCTAAATAAAACATACGTACAGTAAAGTCTAGAAAAACCTAACCTTACAAACGCAGACTGACCCGAAACTTAGTAAAACTAAAACAAACAATGTTCGCAACTGGAAACAGGGTAGAAATTCAATTTGCTATGTTGCCGGCAAAAAGTGGGGACAAAACGCGCAATGCACCCATATTTGGGGCGTGCCTCAAACAAAGCAACAATAAAATATGTAGCATATACATGAGAGCAAATTTATCGGAAACCACGGTACAGGCAATGGTTTGCGAGCATGTCGGAACACGGATCCGATCGGGCCTTAACACTGGTTTGCATCGTAAATAATTTTTCAAGTGAGAAGTTTAATTATTTTCTTCGGATAAGTCAAACAAAATTATTTATTCCAACTAAACCATAAACAGGTACTTTTGAAACGTTAAAATAGAAAAATAGTATGCCAATCTCTTTGTCAATGAAGTTAGGTGTTCACCTAATACTTAATGCCGTGCTTGGAGACTTTAAATGATAACTTAAACTTCAACTTAGTAACGATTTACTTCTGGAAATTATATTACTAAAGACTGGGTTAGGAAACTATTCACTTTTACAACGCTGGACGTGATTAAACTATACCTAAGTAAAGTAAAAACATGGATAGAAAAAAACGTATTAGAAAACAATAAGTTCGACAAACGTCGCCTACAAACACTCTATACTAATAATTTTCATCTCGGCATGACTTCTTTTCAATTTGATTCTTTTCAACGCTTCCAAACTAATTACAATAAAAAACCAACCTAATTATATAAAATTACTAGCCACAAATAAATTTATTCCACCGAAACCGATGGTAACGCCTCGACTATTCACACGCAATCAAAATTCTACCTCGCCACCTTTGTTTAAAGTTCAAAATCGATTTCGATTTCAATCGTTTGAATTTCACACATCAAAAATTCTAGAAATACGAGGTCCACGCAACGGTGAAAATAATTAATTTCTACCAAATCCATTATTGTTGAGTGCTTCTGCATAAAACTGTTGGCTTAACAATAACACGAATCTTTAATAATCATAGTGCTGTTTGTTTTATTCATTCATTTGTTATAATATAGTTGTGTATGTTAACCTTTAAAGATTGTGTTTGTAATTGTGCACTTTTTGTCTTAAGTTGTATGAAAAAAAAAAACGTGTTGATGCCTTCGTTTTATACTGGTGATTGGCGATAGTATCTATGCACAGATAATGCAATAATTGATGCTAGATGAAATAAAATAATAATATATCAGAGACTAATGCGTTTGATATTTTAACTAAAGGGCAAGATAGGACCAGACAGCATCTGATATGAGTTCTGGATATTTATTGACACATCACTGTGCTGAGGATAGTAATAACATAATAGAAAATAATAGTCTTTAAGTCAAAATACTACTAAGCAAATCCAAAATTCATGGAGAGAGCAACAGTTTATGAGTTCATAACGTTTTGTTAACCAATCAATCTGGACTGCGGCAGGTGGCAGCAATATCCTTCAAATGCCAATCAACCTCCCGTACCATGTTCGCTTGCAGTTAGGTACTTCCTTTTTTTCCAACATCTATTGCAAAGTTTTGATGAAACACGATATTGGTGCCTTTCGGGTTTCCAAATGCCACTTCGTACAATTCTGTTGCCTTTATTTGATCAGATTTTATTTCAGTACCCACTTTATTTTTCTTTATGTACTAGGTCGGCAAACGAGCAGACGGATTTCTTGATGGTAAGCAATCAGCACCGGCCATGGACACCCGCAACGAAGGAGTTACGAGTGCGTTTCCGACCTTTTGGGGATCAGGGATTTGGGAGATTAAGGGATTGGGGAGGGGAAGGATTGGGCCTCCGGTAACCTCACTCACACGGCGAAACACAACGCTGTGGTTGTTTCACGTTGGTTTTCTAGGAAGCCGTGGTATCACTCCGGTCGAGCCGACCCATTCGTGCCGAAGCTTGGCTCTCCCACAGTCTAAACTATGATAACGATAACTATAACTTGATTCTAGAAAACTTACTATGTTGGTTGTGTTTAAAGATTTGAGGATTCTAAGGACCGTGTATTTTGAAATGTACTGCGGCCTCGGCCTGGAGAAGGAGAAATTACAGGGTAGGCATTAGTCAGTAAGAGTCTGACACTACCTTTCACAACACACAGGACTAGCAAAGATATTAAATGGCTTTTTCGCTCGCAAAAACAAAGTGCTCAAGTAGATGCAAGGACGATTTTCTATTACGATTTCTTGAGTCGACTCTCATTATTGATAAATGTACTTTTTATGTATTTCTTGGAGATTTAAAAGTGGTTGAGCAGTATTCATTTCGTTGTCAAAAAACAGGTTAAAAAATCAAAGAAAATACTATTTACATTCGAGTTCGGAGAGAATGTAAACGAATAGATACCCAAAGTAAATGAACATAAAGATAAAAATAAAGCAACAATGTTTTCAACAGCATAATTCCTAAGATTTTTGCAGCGATGTGGCAAGAACTTTTAATTCAATGAACTATGCACTTCCAATTTTCTCAAAGGAGGGGAAATTTTCAAGCACCCGTTCTGTATATTGGTAGCTACACTTTGCAGTGAGCTTATAAATTTATCTGTACAAAGGTTGTAGGAATCCTCGCGCACTTCCCTGTGGCTTGGGGCTCAGGGCACAAAGAGCTAGATCGCGATAACGCGAAGACGAGGACTCGTAAGGGACTTATGCTAGAGTGAGCAGTTTATGTGTTTAAATTTAAATTTCGAATTGTGAACCCAATGGAAATTGTTAAGTCTATGTGGATTTCGAGATTCAGATTGATAATGTGTGTCAAGGTGGTTTAATGCCATTAGTTTTTGCATGGGTTAATGATTTGATTGTGTTGCTAATATTCCAAACAAATATTGGAGGGATTATTAAAGAAAAATACACGGAAAAAATATTAAATTTTATTTTTTTAATTCCGTCAAAACATTTAGGTACAAGTTTTTAAAGATATTTCTGTGACACTTTCAAAGGTAACCGTTTTGTTTGCACGCTTAACGCAGAGAAAAAACCGGCTACTGTGAAAAGTGTCGCGACAAATAGGTATCCACAAATTGATGTTCCGAGTCTAAACTATATGTGCACGTGGCACGCTCTAAAAAATAATAATAAAACATCTGTGTTCTACCTTGACTTCTAATTCAATCACACTATTACAAGAAATTGACCACAACATTTAAAACACTCTTACGTTTATCGTGATCCAAAATTCCAGTTTTCAACCAAACTGTTTCGCTACTGCATAAACCTGTCTAAACTAGCTGACCGCGCACTCATATAGCCTAATGGCTAGCGGCTAAATCTTCACGTGGTATTTTACAGTCTCAGTCAATAGAAGCCTCTTCTTGCTTTATTCGTAAAACTAGTGCTGCATTTGTTCCTTATATACCTCCTTTGAGTACTATAATAACTAGTTTTGGTATAGGGCTTTGTTATTGTTAGAAAATAGTTAGTATTACCCCGTAATTAGGTATCCTTTCTTTCGGTATACCGTTGAGAAAATATTTGGATCTTCGAATAACGAATGTGGTTAAGCCATCCTTCGACATGAATGTGTCGGCTCGACCGGAGTCATACTAAAGTCTCACAGAAAATTGACGTAAAAGTACCACAGCTTTGTATGTCGCCGTTTAAGTGAGGTTACCGGAAGTTACCCTTTCCCTTTCCCCATCAAGCACCAAAATCTACAAAAGGTCAGCAACGAACTCGTTACTCCTCTGGCATTGCAGGCGATAAAGGGTGGCGTCGGTTGCTTACCTTCAGGTAATCCGCCAGCTCGTTTTCCGACCTATCACATGCCTGTGTATGCGTGGTCCAAAACTAATTCAGCTACACAAACCTATCAAGTTAAAAACAATAAAAACAAAGTAATTTCAAACTTAACAAAAAATAACTTTAATATCTACACATTACAAATCCAATTCGGAAATCAGTCTTGCAAAAATTTTGCTAACAGTGCTGCCACAATTAATACAAGAGAAGCATTGACGCTATATCCACTACTTTGCAGGTAGCCAAATCTTCGAGCTTGGAAAATGAGTTCTAGAATAGAGTCCATGACTTCCAAGTTATTTGGCAGGATCTGTGCAGGTGGGAGAACGAAGCCATAAGTGCCATTATCTCTTAGTTCATAACAGTAGACTAATGGGACCTTCAGTTCTTCTTTTACCCAGTCCACGCTTCCACCAGTCGCAAGGTCTGTAAAAATGTAAAGGAATATTTAAAGTACTCAAAAATTAACACTTTATTTTAGGTGTTTCTGGTGTTTCGAATGAAGTAGGTATAAACAATCTCTATTTAGCTTTGTTCCATCAAATTTGTCGGTAATATCATTAAATTTGGTTCTCTAATAGTATTAGAAAGGGAATACTATTTTCATCGCAAGTCCACCTCTATCTAACTCAGCTATGCAATATGAATTATTTTTAACTTTACGACTTTTTTTCAGAAATATTATCTTCCTATCTTCCTTAATAAAGTTCGTTAAATATTTCGTTACTTACAAATCGTTTCAGCAATGTTTCCTGTCCTGTATTGAGTGCCATATTTGACAGATAACGCTCCCATTGCACGTATGCCGATTTCTCTCTGTAAAATATTTTAATATGATGAGTTAGGTAATATGATATCAGCGAGCTAATAAGTGCGTTATGTCGTATATTATATAAGCACTATTGCAGGCTGAGAAGTCTTGAATCTCGAATTCTCAGTTTGAATTTCGAATTGGACGAGGCACTAGATAATTTTCAACTAAGTATGCATTTTTTTTGTATTTCCAACCATTTGGAGATCGTGACTAAATGACATGGTCATTTCTAGTCATTATAGTATATGCTTAACATGATGTGCGTGAGGTGGCATATAATATTATTATAACATAGGCAGTTGACATCAATTTAAAGAACAATCTCAAAAACTTACAGCATCATGATAATTTGCTAAGGGTGCGGTCGTATTTCCAAAAGGTAACAACAACATCTGACTATATGAATGGAAAGACAGATACATGTCAATCCTATCACCAATCGACGCGATGAATTCAGACAAGGACTTAGTTTCGGGTTCTGAGAAAGGTTCAGGGCCCGCATAGTCGTCGCGAGCAGGGTTGGAGCTTGCACCTTCAACTGTTGAATCAGCAAAGATACCAGTGCTATTTACAACTCTTTTTATAAATTATTCAGTTTCTAAAGTAGGTGTGTCACAAAAATAGTCAACAAAAAGATATTTGAAGCCATTGTAAATTGTTAAAGAGAATTAACGATTTAGATTTATATTAATATTAATAACGATAGTCGAATTTCACAAAGGTACGTTTTAAAAAAGCTCAAAATTAATAAACTTTACCCATCCAGTTGTTATCCCAGTTTCTGTTCAAATCAATGCCAAAATGTTCGCCAACAGGACGTCTATTCTTACGCCACATTCTGAACTGAAATATTAAAACACAATGATAGAAGCAACCCAACAAGCCTATAGCTAAATAATGAAAAAAATAGAATTACATTTTCAAAACTCCAAACATAGCCATCAGGATTCGTAACTGGAAAAATGTACCAGTCAAAGTTATGTGCTGCAAATTTTGTCTCTTCATTATCGCTGGTAAGCAGTTCATTAGTGATGTAGTTGACTGTTGCCGGTGATATCCATTCTCTGGAGTGAATACCACCTTCCAAAAAAATCACTCTTCTACCTTGACCATGAGATATTCTAAGGCCTTTGATGGATCGACCTTCGTATGAAGTCCCACCAGTAATGACGGTGACAATTTTGGGATATTCTGCAGCTAAATCATCAATCCAAGCGTTGATTGATGACAGATTGTAGTAGCCGTCCCATCTCATACTTTTTACATTGCTTCTTGTATATGTCTGTATCACCTCCTGATCGATTGCTCTGTAAAAAAGTTTTATCTATCATACTCTTCGGCATTACGCAAAATATTAACAAGGTACTGAAAATTTTGATGAGTTTCTCTTCTTCTATTATAATATCTTCAATCTATTGACTGTGAATAAAGGGGTCGTAGTAGTGATACCTAAAGTTTAATTGAAATCACAATAACAAAATTTGGGAAAAGAAAAATACTTAAGTAAACCGTTACCATTAATCACCACAAATATAGAATTACACATAAGTTATTAAAGGAATGAATGCTAAAAATATAAATATAATGCAACTTAGTTGTAAACCACTCAAAACCAGTAGCATGTACAAATAAAGTCTGACACTCCCTTTCGCCCGCCGAGGGTGATAAAAGTCATTAGATGAGTATCCTACTTCTTGTGATAATTGTGATGTACAATGACTAGTATGGTTGAATTAACTTAATTGATACTTACAAGTTTCACTAACACTAGGTACTTACTCTTGAATATTTTCAGTATTAATTTCAAAATCTATATTTTTACTCTTCAAAACATTTTCAAATTCATTTCTGTTTTCGGGACTCGTTAGAACATTCACGTAACCAGCTGGACTAGCAGGATCGTTCCAGAAATCGTAACCCGCATCACTATTTTGTATAGTTTTTAAATAATTTACTTGTTCCACATCTTTTGGTATTATTTTATAAAGAGCATAGTTGTCGAAACGAAACTCACTTAAAACATTTGATACCGATAAAATTAAACCAAATAATATAAACCACATTTTTCTTTGTGATTTTGTTTAACGATGGTCGCTGACGACCAACTTTGCGTAACGTTTGAATTATCTGATTATTTTGAAGTTATTGTTAATATGTATGTATAATTATGTTCTTAGCGTCAGGTATTGGTTATCTTGATAAAACACGTGTATCTGCGCAATAAAATTCAGTTTATAATTGTATTTGAGGGCTTATTACAAATAGATTACAGAGAGTTAGAACTTGGTCAAGTATTATTATAGATAACGTTATCGCAGAGAATTTTTTAATCTATAAGTTCTATGAATTTACAAAATAGCCGATTGTTTTGTTGTGAGGGGAAAATCATCAAAATACTCCTCTCGTCCAAGGCAAGGGCGAGGTTGAGTGTCAGACTCATACTGACTGAAAACCCCGCTCCAACACCTGCTCTAGACTGAGGCTGCGGTGCCTTCTTGCGCTTAACCTGCAACCCTGGCTGAAGTTCGATGGACTTAACTGTAGATTTTGATTCAAATACGTAAGGATTCTAAGTAATCAAATTTAAGTACCGTAGTAACCAAATTCTTCAATTTTTTTTAATTATATTTAACTGGAGTGTCATCTTGATAACGCCAGTCTACAATTGGACTTGAATACATGCTACATGATGTTTGTGTTTTAAAAGTCCTTGCCCCACGCCAGAACACACATAGCACGTTGTACGGTAGCCGGTTGTTCAGTCACCGCGTCAGAGCCATCAAAAGCAATGACGAAATTAACGAAACTAAATTATAAATGATCCTACTTATTTGTTTTTAACACGAATAAAAAAGTTGATAAAAGCCAATTTCGTGTAGCCCTTAAAATAAAATAAGAAACGTGACATCCAAGTTATCGTTGTAAACAAAAATATTTATCATTAATCAAAATACCAAGTTTACAACAAGTCTTAAGATTAAATTGTTTTATGATACTAACGCAAGGCTCTAAGTCTGAAGCAATAAATTTACTCACAATCATACATGAAATATTCGCCGAAATAAAACGCAACATTAACGCGCTGGTTTGCGTTTTGAGTTATTTATTAGCATCACTACCTATCTTTTATCGGACTGTTGTAAAATATAGGAGAGGTCAGGAAAATAAAAGTGGTACTATAAACGTGGTATCACTTTAGTTTATGGGTACTTAGACATTTGCAGTGCTAATTAGAATTATTCCTGTTTGGTGAATGGCTGAGTAATTTTAATCACTTTTTCACTGAGTTTATGACGACAAACTCCTTGGAGAAGTTCTCGCTAATGCGCCTGTCTGTATTTAGGTACTTATACAACGTTATCTATATGTCGTAGTTAGTTATGTTTTTTTTAGTGGCGAAATTTAACTGACGGAAGAGAGAGATAGACTCTTACTAACAATCAAGGATCTACTGATTAAAAAAGAAGGATCAGGGTGTTTCTTCTCCTATTCCAAGTTGGGGCCGCGGTAAATTATTGCAATTGCAACTGCAACCCTGGTTGCACATCAGCCATATTGGGCCCCATTTTGTGCTCAATAGTACTTTGAGGCGCGCTCTAAAAGTTTTCGTATTTCTCTACCAAATTCAAAGAAATAAAAGTATGCTAATGTGAAAGGAATAAAAATAAGCTAATGTAAAAAAATGCAAATCAACTAGCTTAACTACTTAGATGTTCAACTAATGGCCAAAATAACAAGCTGTTTTTTAAATGGCTGAATTTCAATTCCCCGAACAGAAATCAAAGTGGCATCAAAGTTAAATTTCTTTTAGATTCTTAGGCAATCGCACACTAAAATTATAATCTTATCGATTTCCAAGTCCTTTCTACTTATGTCGAAGACAAAAGTATAAGTTGGAACATCACCAATAATACCAAAATTGCCTTAATGTGGAAATTAAAGTTAGTTGGTAGTAAATTATATTTATTAGGCATTAATTCAATACATGAAACTTATTGTATGTTAAGTGTAACTCTTTGGAATTCTGTTTATTCTGGTCCTCGCATATATCCAAATCTTTTAGCTTGGAACAATATTTCTATAAGAGAATCCATTGTTTCTTCACCAGTTGGCAAGATCTGATCTGGTGGAAGAAGGTGGCCATAAGTTCCTCTGTCACGAAGTTCATAGCAGTAAGCTAGAGGGATTTTTAGACGTTCCTTTACCCAGTCCACGCTTGTTCCTGTGGCAAAGTCTGTAAGAAATTTACAAGTTATTGCTAAATAAATATCAGTTCTAGACAGGCCGCTTGGAGGATGTTTTATGGTTGATGTCAGCAATCCTAGCCGAATAAAATTATTACGAAAATCTCGATGATGACAAGGGAATCAGGACTCTGTTCAACTTGTGGCAAACCAAAGAAACCAAAGGAAATTAGACAACATTATCTTATAAAAGATACTCACAAATAGCTTCAGCGATATTGCCAATGGTGTAAGGAGTACCATATCTGAAAGCCAGTGCTCCCATAGCTCGCCTTCCAATTTTCATCTGTAACAAATCATTTAAATATTTCATCAAGTTAGTAGGTTCCTTCACCGTATAACATATCTTTTTGAAGTTCATCATCTTAGATTTGTTAAAGTTGGACGTTACTTTAGAGTCAATCTTCAGTACATAGTCTATCGACTTTCAACCAACTATTTTCCATTGGTCCATATGTAATGATGATAATGATAATGATCAAAACTAGAAGGTACTAGATTTCATATTTTATCAAACAATACCATTTTCATGAATATGGGCCTCAAGCATGGCTTGAAACTAGTCGAGTATCTCGTCAAATTATTACGTGAGTAAGCCGAAAACATAATAAATAGTACCATATTACTTACAGCATCATAATAATTAGCCAAAGGTTCTGTAGTGTTTCCAAAAGGCAGAAGAAGAATTTGACCAGAGGAGTGAAAGGACAGATAGAGGTCAATTTTATCGGCCATATTAATGATGTAGGTAGATAAAGTCCTGGTTTCAACTTCTGAGAAAGGACCTGGACCAGCAAAGACGTTGGAGCTTGGATTTAAGCTGATGCTTTCCTCTGTGGAATAGAAAATTTATTGATTGCAAATTAGTCTATAATATAAATATACCTGTGTACACAGCTAAGTTATTTTTGTGAGGTGTAAATTATCAAATGCCCTCCCCTAAACAGGATGGGGCGGGAGTTTTTTTTTTAAATAACGTTTCCCCACATTAGGATTTTCTTCTGTGTCGTGGGTGCGGTTACAAACATACAATTTCACATACACATGACACCCAGACCCGGAACAACAATTTGTGGATCACACAAAGAGTTGTTCCGTGCAGGAATCGAACCCGCGACACGTTGCACGGCAACCAGTTGCCCAGCCACCGAACCAACCGTGCAGTCTGCAGGGAGTGTCAGACTCTTACTGACTAAAACCTCCTGGTTCCTTCTCCTGCTCTAGGCCGAGGCCGCGGTTCCTGATTGCTCTTTTCCAGCATTCCCAGCTGAAGATCAGCCACATAGAGCTCCGTCTGTGGGGGTCTCTTGGCACCTGTACACAGCTTGTGTGAAAACATTAAATTATGATTTTTGTTTCGCCGGGCACCGGGGTCCCGCTATCTCTTTTTAGAGATGGTCAAATCAGAGTCCCAATTAATTCAATTGCAAATTCTTTAAAAATAAATAATTTTTGTTTCAGCAACTCGGTAGTGAAATTTTATTTACTTAGCCAGTTATCGTTCCAATTCCTGTTGAGATCAACGCCGAATTCGTTTCCAAAAGGACGTCGGTTTTTGCGCCATAGTCGGAACTGCAATAAACAAATGTAATGAATACTAATATTGATATTTAATAATACATAACTTGATGTTTCTTTAGCTAGGTACGACCAATATTTTCTAGGATCAATATTTTAAGACTCTCTGAAAAGAGAGATTAAATATGAATTTGAAAATTACTAGTTACGTCGGCGGCTTTATCTGTTCGGCGATATAACTGTTTTCACAATATAATATTCATATTAATACACACAAACAGGATGGAGATGCTGCAACTATTTTCCCTCCCGAATTAGTAATGCCTAACAATAATAAAATAACACAAGACATGAAATCCTACATTTCACTTTTAATATAATTAACTAATCGTGAAAATAAAACTTACACCAACGTGGCTCCAAATATATCCATCAGGATTAGTCACAGGGAAGATGTACCAATCAAAATCACGTGCAGCTGCCTTTGTCTCCTCATCGTCACTGAACACAAGCTCATTGATAATAAAGTTAGTTGTAGCTGGTGCAATCCACTCTCTGGCGTGAATTCCACTTTCGATGAAAACTGCTCTCCTGCCAGGACCATGGGAGATCTTGATGCCTTTAATCTCTCGACCTTCATACGTTGATCCTCCTATTATAATGGAGATAGTTTCAGGGAATCTAGCTGCTAAGTCTTCTAGCCACGCGTAGATGTCTTCTAAAGTGTAGTAGTTGTCAAATTCCATTGTTCTTATGTTGCTTCTTGTGTAGGTCTTCTTCTTCTCATTGTCGATTAGTCTGTTAAATTAGGAGTTTATTAATGATGTTTCAATTATTATAGTTTGTGCTATGCTATTATGAGTTTCAATGACTGAGCATTCCGAAAATTAAAAACTATTTTACCAAAGCTAAAATCGGACTGAAGATCTTTTTCATATTTTGTTAGCCTTTGACTTTTGACTTTATTCTAAAGTAGTTATTACTACCACTATAGTTGTACGTAGGTATATGGATCATCAAAAACTACTTACTCTTGAATATTTTCCTGTGTTATCACAAAATCAATTCCGTTAGACTTCAAAAATTCTTCCAGATCTTTTTTCAGTTCAGGCTTAGACACAATATTCACGTAATCAGCAGTCGGGACTGGATCATCAAAAAAATCGAATTCAGGTGCAGCATTTTGGAATTCTTGAAGAGCTGTGACATCTTCTAGACTTTTGGGCAAGACTTTGTAGAGAGTGTAATTGTCAAACCTAAATGGTTCACTAGACACCACAACAAATAAAATTGATAATAAATAAAATATTTTTAACGCCATGTTGGGAGTCTATTAGTCTTAGACTACCATGATCGACTGAATGTTCATATCAGGCGGAACCATAAAAGTATATAAAAATAAGATATACAATGATATAGCTATTGTAAATTTTATGATCATTTTAAATAAATAGTATTCGATAATAATAGTATATAAATATGATAAAGCTGAAGGGTTTGTTAGTTTGTTTGTTTACTTGAACGCGCTTATCTCATGTACTAATATTGTATATGTGGGAGACCCATGCTTTGGTACTCATGAGCCGGCTTAACCAGAGCGAGTCCATGTCCTCACAGAAAATCGGAGTGAAACAACGACAGCGTTGAATTTTGCCATGTTAGTTAGGTTATTGGAGGACCAGGATCTTACTCGCAATGGTCTTGCGAGTATCCATAGGTGCCGCCGATTTCATACCACGGGTCACATCATCTAATTTGCAGGTCAAAAACATTTAAAATAACCACCAGTTCGAATGTAAAATTATTTTTGCATTGGATAGTCTATTTAATTTTTTCATGCAAGAATTGTTGAAGTCGAGCAGCGAGTGAAACCGCGTTGAAGTAGCTAGTATTTAGATCATTTAGGTATTTTAGGGACTTTTTTGGGATATCAATTCTAGTAATTTCTTCGTTAACATTGTGTCGTACTATAGGAAGAGTTTTTAATATCATATAACTTTTAGTTAGTATTATAAGATATAAGTATTTTTACCGAGTGAATCTTACCTACACGAAAACATTTATCGGCTCACATTTTACAGAATTTTTAAGAGAAAATGTTCATAAAAGTGGTATTAAATAAAAAGTGAGGTAGGTTTTAACAAAATTGGTGCTCAATAAGGTGAGTGTTATTATATTTTTGTTGCTTGCTTATGATTTTGAGATAGGTACATATATTCTTGACTGTGAGACTGCTTGTGGGTTTATAAAGTATGGTAAAAAGACAAATGCACGTCAGTAAAAATACCATCATCATCATCATCAGCCTATAAGTGCCCACTGCTGGTCAAAGGCTCTTTCACGCACTAGTAGTCAAGGGATCTTCTTACACGGTGGACGTATCGAGCTTATAATTATTTAAATAGTAGGATGAGGGTCAAAAGTGCAATTGCACTTACCAATATTAAAGTGTCTTAATTTTTTTATAGTTGGGGGTCAGAGGTTCTTTGTGTGATTTACTTGTAGCATACATTCAAAAGTAATAATAGACAGGATTTTAGATACCTAAACTTGTTTTAAAAAGAAGCTTTACACATTTTCGCATTGGTAGATTACAGGTGCACTTTTGACCCTTATTTTACTTTTTAAATATGTATACATATAGATACATCTAACGCGAAAAAGTCAGATTGCAACTCGCCATGTTTCGAACCCGCATGCTCGCGTATAAGAAATGGGTACCATAACCTATACAAGCTACCACGAAGTAGTAAAAATAATAATCTATAAAATAATAAATTTAAAAAATTATAATCTTTATGACTTGATCACCGTCTGACTTGCATTTTATAGTCATGTCGATAGTTAAAATTTTATCAAAGTTTTGAGCAATGCGTTAGATTTAATATCGGATTACTGGCAATAGTTTTGCTGTTTGAAATGTGTCAATATTATTATTAGTGTTTTGTTGGTAAGTACCTTTATCTAATAAATAAGTTCTCTGGTTTAGTTATAATTGAAATCTTCTCCTTAGTTTTGTGTTAATGCAATTGCAATGTAAGGTCTGAGTCTGACTCCTCTGAATCGGAATGTCTTTTAAATTTATTTTTCTCAAATTATTTGGGTTTTCTCATATTATTATGGCGTTTGTGACATTTGGTTTATAGGTTATCGATTTTTGTGCGTGTCTTAATTAACTTAGAAAGTATATAAATATATAACTCGTTACTTCGGAAAAGTCTCATCGATACACGCCAGGTTTCAAATCTTACCCAAACGCCTTAACATCCAGGGCACCACAACAAATTAATGATGTTTTTTAACAATTTGATAAAATAATCAAAGTCAAAGTAAAAAAAAAAAACAAAAATTCTAAGTTTGGTTCATCAAAGTCAAAGTTTGGTTTCATAGAAATTGCACCCACTAAGTGATTCATTAATACACATACTTCATTTTAACTATCGTTAATAGATATTTTGTACAGTATCGTAAGACGTTTTAAATGTATTGAGAGTGTACGCGCCACTGTCGCGATCCGCACCCTCCTTATAAAAGAGTTCCTCAGTGACTTAAAACTAGTGCAGCTTTTCTTAGATAATTCACTCGAGTACGTCGTTATTTCTTATAAATAATTCATATGTGTGCGCGTGGTATGCTGATAAAAATAGCCCACATATTAATCCAGGGTACTTACCACCATCTACATAGGTACCAAAATTTTAACCAAATCGGACCAGCCGTTTTTGAGTGAAGGATAACAAACAGACATCTATACATTATCACAAACTTTCATACCTACAATATTAAGTAGGATAGGATAATATAAAAATAAAACCACGACTACTATTTTTTAAATTAGTCTATATTCCCCTAATAAATACGTAACATCAGAATAAATATACAACTATTTGTTGAAAACATTTTATCATTGGAAAATCCTAAGATACGGGTAAATAATAATTATAATATCGGCATATAATTATAATATGGCATCATCATGTAAAAAAACAAGTATGTAGATGACTACAAGTTTTCACAAACCTGTGCTAACACCTCTGTATGCATGTTAACCTGAACAATATTGAAATCTTGTGATTTAAAATTTAATTTGAAAATAAATTTATTTTCTTTCTTTCTTCTTGATTTAAATGTTTAATAAATATTAGATCACAAGTTATCCTATTAACTTGATGCCATAGTTGTGTAATAGCTGAAATCTTATATGAAATATCACTTGAACTACAATAATTTAATTTAGGATGAAGGAAGAACATTGATGTACTTTGCTTCTCTGATGATAGCTAGAAGAGAGTCCATGGTTTCTTCTCCTGTTGGTATAATTTGTGTGGGTGGTAAAGTATAACCCCAGAATCCAGTGTCTCTAAGAACATACGTTGCAGCCAGTGTGGGGTTGAACCGGTGCTTAGCCCAGTCGACGATTGAGCCTGTAGCACCATCTAAATAAAAAACAGTAGAAAGTTAATCCTAGTTTCAAAACTGATATTCTGTTATTTTCTTTAGAAATATTTAAGATAAGTGAAAGAAATTATATATTGTGTAAGTTGTAAGCAAGATGATGAACTTACCGAAAACATTTCTGGAGGTACCAACACGGTATTGCGTATCATAGCGAACAGCTAAGGAACCCATTGCTCTTCTTCCAATGATAACCTGTGAGAGGAGTACGTATTTGAATATAACCTTGAAATTTGATGAGACTTCGTTTGTTAGAATATTACAAAGTATTTATACACAAAAGAAGTTAAAGAACTTACTAGTTTATCAGACAGTTAATGTTTAAATTCACGTGGTACTTGTAATACTTATAAAACTTCACACGTGATTATAAACAATCCAATTCTATTTTCAACTCACCATCTCATTGTAATTGTACAGTTGATCGCTAGAATGAGCGAAAGGAATGAGAAATCTCTGTCCAAAAGATCGGAAAGAGAAGAATCCAGTGAGGGTAGATCCAATGGTTTGAATGTAGTTTGAAAGGAACCTTGTTTCAGGTTCAGAGAAAGGCCCAAGACCTATGTAGTTGTCATCTCTGGCATTAAAACTTCCACCACTTACTGCAAAAATATGGAGGAAAGTAGTATAAATTGTAGAATTGTGTGGTTTTGAAAACCTTTGACAGCACTTCCTATAATAATGTGACATAAAAAAAGAAAAGAACGCAAAAGTATGATTATCTCTACAGATTTGCCCCTATTTCAATAGCGTTAACATGAAGTGAGGGTAGAAAGGTTTTTGATTCAAATGTAACACACTAAAAATGTTTTGAAAAACAGATGAAGGAGCCAGAGATGGTATAATTACCTCCCCATTGTGCATTCCAGTTCTTTGATAAGTCAATACCAGTAGTGGTAGCGTTTGTAGGCCTTCTGTTTTTCACCCAAGCCCTCACCTGGAGAGTTAGAAGGCATTTTAGGCGTTTAACTAAATCAATTTGAACAGTTAATGATTAAGTTAATCAATAAGCAAGTCAGTTGGTTACACTCGATTCTTTTCTAATTTCTTCTTTGGCCTGTTCTTACAATTTTACTGTATGCATGTTTTCGATAACTATAGCTACTTTCGAGCGCAAAAAATACAAACCAATCAAACTAAACCAGAACTATACTTACAGAATCCTGACTAAACTTAAATCCATCAGGATTAGTCACAGGGAAAATGTACCAGACAAATTCGTCAGCAGCTGCCTTGGTTTCACGGTCATCGCTATTAATCAGCTGATTGGCAATGTAAGTTACAGTGGTAGGAGATAGCCAGTCAGCAGCAATTTCACCAGCGTGGAGGAAGATTCCTCTAGTACTGTTCCCTCGATTTATTTTAATACCAGTGATGTCACGACCTGAAAAAATATCGTATTTTATACTATCTGTTTACTTGGATACGGAGATACCATGTATTGTCTTTTGTAAAAAGTTTATTGTACTATGGTTTATTTTTCAATGGTCAGATAAATGTTATCTAAGGAATAAAATTGTTGCTGTCACTGTCTTATAAAAACATTCTGACGCGACAGCATCATAATTTTTCCTTAGATAACTTTTATCTAACCATTGAAAAACCAGCCCTAAATATAATACAATAGTTGAATATTTGACTTATGGGAAATATTCTAAATAAAGAAGATATAATGTAGTGTTACTTTACTAAGGGCTGGTTTTTCAATAGTCGGATAAAAGTTGTCTAAGGAATAAAATTGTTGCTGTCACTGTAGTGTCTCTTGTACAAACATTCTGACGAGACAGCTTCAATTATTTTTTCCCCAGATAACTTATGTATATACTTTTAATAGAATAAAAGATTCGTTGACTACTTTATTTGTTTTTAACACTCACCCTCATAACTTTGTCCAATTGTGATCTTTTGAACAAAGTCGTACTGTGCTTCTAATCTGTCGAACCATCCG